CAGTACATCCCTGTGGCACATCGCCCTGGCACATCCCTATGGCAAATCCCTGTGGCACATCCCTATGGCACATCCCTTATGGCACATCCCCACGGCACATGCCTGTGGCACATCCCTATGACACATCCCTGCAGCACATCTCCTATGGCACATCCCCGTGGCACATCCCCACGGCACTGCACGTCGTCCCCGCGTGCTCTTGAGCAACAGGGAATTGGGAAAGTCCCCTGGCTGGAACATGGCTGCTGGCACCCCCAGAGCTTGGCCATGTGCCAGCGGGGCAAGCCCCGTCACCTCCACCAGAGTCCCAACCAGGGCCGAGAGCTCCGGGATCTGCACCATGGCCAAGCAGGATTTTCCCCAACTCCCTCCTGAGCAGATGGAGATGCTGCAAACCTTCCCCTTCCTGCAGCACCGTGGGCCCCAAAATCTTAACCATGACCTTGGAGGGAGCCTGAAGGAAAGTCCTGAGCAGCACAAACCTGTTGGGAAACTGGGATGGACAGGTGAAGCACTTAAATCCCTGTAATCAGGGAGTGCACGGATCCTGTTCCGCAGCTCTGCGTGGCCAAAAGGCCCCTCATTAAGTCCCATGGGGTGTGGGGAGCAGGCACGTGGTCCCTGCCCTTTGGGCCTGTGGCAGAGCCCTGGGGGCAGCCAGGGGTGGCACAGGGACATGTAGCACAGGGGCAGGCACACCGAGGGGCAAATCCCTGCCCCTCAGGTGCTGCGGACAAGGGGAGTCTGGGTGTGCCCAGGTGGTTGTGGGTCCATGGAGGGATGATGGCCGGGCACATCCTCGGCCTCTCCGGTGATTACACGCTGCCAGCACCCTTTGGTCTTAACTGCAATCCCTGTTGGATTTGGGAGCTGAGGGCTGAGGCACCTGCTGACATTCAGCATACCTGTTCCTCTGGGTACAGCCAAACCCTGTCCTCAGGGAGCTCGAGGAGAGCTGGGCAGAGATCCCAGGAGGTTGGCTGCTCCATCCCTAAAAATCGCCGCGTGCGGAGGATGCTCCTGCCCCACCCTTGTGTGGGCTCTCCTGGTTTGGCACCCCTGGAGGCAGAGCAGGTGGAATCACACACACCAAACCAGTGCCAATCCGGGATGACTTCTCTTTTCCCTGATGGTGTTTATTTGGATGAAAAGGTTTTGCAGGTGTCCCAGCCCCTCCATCCCAACTGGATACACACGGAGACAGCAGCGTATCCGATACCCACACTGTGCAACCTTTGTTACCCTCAACACAGAGCTCTGATAAAGCCCTGGGAACTCTTTCCTCCTGATTTTAGCTCAGTCACTCTGTTTTTTTAGCTTCCTGCAAATCCCTGCCTCTGCTCCTTCCTCTGAATAATGGGAATAATATTTACCACCTCCCACTGGGAATCTGAAGGATATGTGGCAACCCTCCTGGAGAAAGCACGGACTTCAAAGACACTTATAATAACACACATTATCTTTACACCACATCTATAATTACAGCCAAGTACAGTCTATCTTGAGAAACTGGAAAATCTCTCATATCTTGGGGTTGTTTCGTGCTTTAAAGCACTCCCTGCTCCAGCACGGCTCTGCAACCGGAGCAGAAGCAGCTTTGGAAAGGCTTTTGGACCTTTTTTCCATCATTATTAGCATGAAAATCAGGAGAGTCTTTGTTAAGGTGCCCAAACTGGATCCCCAGTGATCCTGCAACCCGTCATTATCAGACACCGCAAGTCATCTCAGGGCTGAGCTGCTCTGGAACTTATCCAGCTGCTCCAATAAATGCTGCATCCCAGAAGCTGTGTCAAAGGAAAGGCTGGCAGACCCAGTGCCAAAGGTTCTACTGGCCAGCTCAGCTCTGCTGTCCCCACCCAATTCAGCCAAGTTTGTGTCTGGTCCCTTTACTGGGCAGTAGTGCCACAGCCCTGAAGATTCTACAGAGGAGCAGGCTCTGGGATCTAGGGGAAGGAAGGAGCAGCTTCTGCTCCAAACATAGAACCAGCACAAACCAATGAGGAATTAGGGCCAGACAAGGATCCCGGTGTCAGTTCCCAGACTCCCAGGTACTGCTGGGGCAGAGCAGCCTGTGCTCCACTTCACCTGGCACTTCCATGCAGGACAGACAACTTCTGGCTTTCCAAAGGTTTCCCACCTGACTGAAAGCAGCACCTTGCCCCAAATTTCACCACAGACTCTCAAACCTACCCAGCTCACAGACATGCTCCAACATAGGCAGAACATTGGGATTCCATTCCTTAGAAAAACCTGAATCATTCCTGCCTGCTTGGCCCAGATTCTCCTCCTTCTCCATGAATTCCCAAGTGTGTTAAAACTGTGTTCCCCTGTGTTTACCTGTGAACCTTCTGCTGCAGTTTCAGCCCAGTTTCTGAGCAACACGTGGCTCTGGACACCCAGTCCCTGAGCCACATTCCCATTTAACCTGCTCCTTCCCTCCTGGACAGGATTCCCCTTGGTTTGGCACTGTGGGCTGTGTCCTTGCCCCTCGGGTTAACCAAGGCACTGTGTCACACTCACCTCTGCCAGGTGCAGTCACTGGGCTTACCTGAGTTAGGAGTAAGGCAGGGTCACATCCACAAGGAAATTCCTGTCTCTTCCTTCCCCAGCTCACTTTATTCCTCCTCTTTCCCGGGAGCAGCTGTGAGTACTACGTGAACGACGCGCCACGCGTGGTCCTGGACAAGCTGGAGCAGCTCGGCTATCGCGTGGTCAGCATGACTGGCGTGGGCCAGACCCTGGTCTGGTGCCTCCACAGGGAATAGCCAGGAAGAATCCTGCCTTCCACCCGGACAAGATCCCGCTGGACATCATCTTACGGGACTGACAGCAAATTTTTCCCCCTTCATTCCTTCCCGTCCCAGACTCCCGGCACTCGGGCGGGGAGAGGAGCGGTGCAGAGGCAGAGCTGGACCCAGTGGGATTTTGCCATCCTTGTAATTTCCCAAGAGCATGGGGAGGATAGTATGCCCAAAATTCAGGCAGAGGGAACAGATGGCTCCAGCTCTGCCTTCAGCAGGATGACAGTCTGGCAAATTCCAGCTTTTTACATTTTAATCATCTATTTAGCATGCCTTGGAGGAAGCTCAGTAACAGACCCGTCTGCCTTCTCTTGGGCTGCCCTTGGGACATCCGTGTCTTCTCCTGGGTCAGGGAGGTTACAGGGGGACACCAGGCATGGACAGCATCCCATCTCATCCCTGAAATCTGAGGGGGAACCACTAAACCTACCCAGTGGTCCGAGAATCCCTTCCCTTGGCAGCAAGGCCCATTTCCATCCCACATAGGATTGTGGTCAGCAGCATCTTCAGACTTCCAGATCCCAGAGTGCCATCCAAGCCTAATATAGGGTTCCCAAAGTAGCACAGAAAGGTGTTGTGAGCATTCCAGGTGCAGGCCCTAATCCCAACAGCAGCAGCTGCACTACTGGAATGTTTGGGGCTGTGTATGGATCCTGCTGTAGGGGTAACCCCAATAAAGCTTTGCCCTAAAGACACCAATGTCCTTCTGTGGGTTGTTTGCAGCTGCAGCCAAATCCTTCTGGATGCACTGCTCCCAAACAGGCTTCCAGGGATTAAAAGCTCCAAGTTTTGGTGTTCTGGTGGCACCTCTCACACCCTGTCCCATGGGATGGGGTAGCTGCTCTGGACACACACACTGATAGGGACACACCCTGACCTGCACACTGAAGCCATTTCCTTCCCCAAACCTGGAAAGGGATCAAGGCCGCAATCCCTGGGAATTTGTATTCCCACACCAGCTTTAAAAAAGGAGGTTTATTGACTTAAATTAAGAAAGAGCTCAGCAGGGGGGTGGTGTGGAGGGGTGGGGAGAATCCATACTGTCATGCTAAGTGTGAGACTCTTCCTCGTCTTCCCGCCGGAGCTGCTCGATGAGCTGCTGCCTCTCCGCTGCCTGGCGCATCCGCATCATCACCAGGCTCTCGTAGTCCCGCTCCGACACCACGGATGCCTGGTAGGGAGCAGGAAACACACACAGCCCGTCAGGGACAGTGCAGACCCAGCTTCCCCCTCCCCAAATTCCCTCTCACAACACGGGGATTCTGGGCAGGAAGCAGTTTTGATCCCACAGAGATCAGGTGAGGTGTGAAAGCCGCCTGGCTACAGACAACAAGCTGCTCCCTAAGTGCGGCTGATGGGGAAAGCAGGACACACGCAGAGCCTGCACTCCTGAATTCCCCTCTTGCTGCCAGAGCTGCTCCCTGCTCCCCACGAGGCTACATGGGGCACTATTTTGGATGACAAGCTCACCCTGCACCTGCAACGCTGTGGCCCAAAGTCCAGCGTACACTTCACCCGTTATAAAGGTTAATGCCATAAAAAAAATGTGGATCAGTCATGGAACTGATAACTCCCAACTGACTGGGGGTGCTGAGGCCCTGCCACAAGTTGCCCAGAAAAGCTGTGGATCCCTGGAGGTGTCCAAGGTCAGGCTGGACAACCTGGGCCGGCAGAAGGTGTCCCTGCCCACGGCAGGGGGATGGAACCAGATGATCCATAAAGTCCCTTCCAACTCAAACCATTCCTGATTGTATGACTGTAATGGTTGGAATTGATGATCTTGGAGGTCTTCTCCAAACTGAACAATTCTAAGTGGCTGCAGAAAGAAAACCACCAGGTATGTTCCCAAACCTGACACGGGAATGGAATAGCTTTCCAAAGCTCCTGGAGCCTTCCTGCTGTGTGTGGCAGCCACTGTCACGTGAATCCAGCTGATTGCAGACTCTGCCTAATGAACGTGGGCAGCTGATGACAGCTGCTCCAGTGCTTTGGAACTCTGCTTCCAAAGCCATTCCACACTAGTAGGTGGCCGTGCTATTTTGGATGTACGAAAGCACTGCAAAGCTTGGAAACATCCATCTTGTTCCTTGACAGTTCAAGCAGAAATAAAGTGTCTTGACAGAAGGTGAATGAAAAAAAAAACCCCTTGTGTTCATTCTTCCAGGAACTGGGGATTTCAGAGCGTCGGAGTCACCGAATGGTTTGGCTTGGAAGGGATCTTAAAGGTCATCTGGTTCCAACCCCCTGCCGTGGGCAGGGACACCTTCCACTAGCCCAGGTTGCTCCAAGCTCCATCCAACCTGTCCTTGGACACTTCCAGGGATGGGGCAGCCACAGCTTCTCTGGGTATTTAAGGACATCTTAGGGAGCAGCAGGGATACAAAGGCAATAGAATGGCTAAATAAGACTCTGCATGAAAATGGGGTAAGTGCAATTTGTTATCAAGTGCCAGCAAAGTGGTTCCTCCGGCTGTGAGGACAAAATAGAAGCCCCACAACAGATGAGGAGGAACGTTGAGTGGGAAATTAGGAGTCTAATTGGTGTCTTAGGAGCCAGATGAGTGAAATGACCTTTGGGTACTGCAGCACCAGTGTCTCACAAAGCACCAATGGTATCAGCCCTCAGCAGCAGAACCAGAATCCTCCCCAGTCCTGTCCACCAACCCCAGGGATTTGCTGGGCTGGATGGAAGAGGCTGTGTGAGACTCATGCAGATGAATCACCTGCACAAACCTGAATCCCCACCTCGCACAGGGATTGAAATTTAAAACAGACAAGAGATTACTCCTAGCCTGGCTTGGGAGCCCTGCTGACACACGGAGCTCTCAGAGTGGCAGGAGGGAGGAGAAGAGCCTGATCCGGGTGGGCTCCAAGCTGGCAGCTCTCAGCAGCACGGGTGCCTCTGAGGAGCTCTCCTGCTCCTCAGGCAGCGTGGGCTGAGGCTTTGCCGCTCCACACACCTCCTTCCTGCAATCCTGGCAATTACCAATCGTGTAAAACCCAGTTCCTGACGTGGCTGACTCAGCAAGGGCTTGGCTCAAAACAAACACATCCGAGCAGGAGCTGCAGCCCGGGAAGAGGCGACGGGCGGCACATGAAGAGACGGCGGTGGCAGCAGCTTTGGGGATTTTTAGCATTCTGGGTCCAACCTGGCTGAATTCCCGAACTCCCGGCTGAGCTGTCCCTGGACTTGCTCCTTCATCCTGGTGAGTGTAGCAGGCACAGTTCTCCGAGAGCTCCAGCGGCTTCTCCCCTGCTCCCTCGGACTCAGGGTTGCTCCAACACAGTGTAAGTCTCCTTTGCAGTCGGTTCCCCCAACATTTGCCTTTCACGTTGTCGCTTTTTACATCCCCCTTTGCCTGTATTTCCTTGGTTCCTCCAGTGGGACTGAGTCACCGTCTCCTTCCCAACCACCCACTGGATTTTCCGGCGGTGCCCCTCCGCAGAAGGTGGCTGGTTACCATGGCACCCGGGTGCCCTTCTGTTCTAGATGCCAGATTAGATCTGTTCTCATGGTGACTGTGCCTTGCTGTTCCTCACCAGCACACGTTTAACGAGCTCAGACACTGTGTTCCTTCTCCACTCGAGGAGGAGACTCCTTAAGATCCAAGACAAGCCAACTGCTCCTTACCACAGCGTGGAGTCTGCCTTTCCTGCACTACCAGCCTCCCTGTTTTCCTTCCAGCTACGGGAACGGGGCAGGAAGAGGCTGTTCCTGCTGCGTGGCTTGCTGCTGATCCCGTGGCTTTAGTCCAGCACCTGCCTGTGAGGAGCCTGCAGGTCCCTTCTCCTCACTGCCTCCCTCAGCATGGATACCTGGCGCAGAGGGTCCATCAAGTCCACCACCTTCTTCAGACGTTTCTCCCTCAGGAGGCACAAAAAGCTGGGCAACCAAGTCATCATCCTGAACCAGAACAGCCACACTCTGGACACTGACGGCCAGAAGAGGGAAGGCTTGAGGGATCTGAAGGACAAGTCTGATTACCTGTCATGCCAGAGCGAGCAGAACCTGGCCAAGGCACAAGCCCCTCCCAAGCCTCCCCGGCTGTACCTGGACAGTTCCAGCTGCCCCAACATCATCGACCACACCGACTCCCACTCCGACATCTCCTTTTCCGACGCTGCTCAGTACCACAAAGGCACTCCAACGCACAAGGACCAGGCTACAGACCACGGCACCTCAGAGGCAGGTTCCCAGAATGGCACCGCTCTTCCCGACCTGGCTGATCCCTTCCTGTCCTTCAAAGTGGATTTGGGGCTATCGCTCCTCGAGGACGTCCTGCAGACCCTCAGGAAACAGAACCCCAGAGATTATGCCATCTGAAGGTACTTATCATTCACCACGTCCCATTTACCCGATGCTGCTGCTGGCTCCTCTGCTCCCAGCGGGAGGAGGGATGCTGGAGCACGCCTGTTGTGTGTGGCCTGTTTTGTTGTCCTCGCCTCACCCACCACAGACCATCCCTTCCTTGCCAAGGAATCCTCTGAAGCAGAGCTCAGGTGAGAGCACCGTTTCCACTCTTCACCCTGGGAATCTCCCACTCAGGACTGTGCGTCTCCTCCTCAGGGAAGAATGGCATTGTTTGGGAAAGACTTGTTATTTTGGGGATGTGGCTGTGACACTGCGGGGCAGGGCCACACAGGGACTTGGCATGGATCCCTTGTGGGACAGCAGGCAGCCTGCAAGGAGACAGTAGCACTGCACCTCAAAGCCACAGGTGTGGCCAGGGCCGAGAGACGGGAACTGGGGGTTCTTCTCTCACCGTGTCTGGATGTGAAAAATCCAAGTTGTTCCTTCTTTTTTTTTTTTTTCTTCTTTCCTCCTTGTGGGTTTCTTTTCCCCCAACTCCAGTGCAGTTGGCACTCCCAACCTGGAAACAGGTAAGCATCCACACGTGCTCGTGACAGAGCACCAGCAGTGGGTTCATCCTCCTGGCAGGAGAGGAGATGTCTCCCTACACTGCTGCCTCACGCATGCACTGAGCTCCCAGCTGTACAGACATGGAAGAATAAATGTATTTGTGACTGGAAGTGTCTGGTTGCCTCCTTGTTTTGTTGGTAACAAGCCACAAAAAGCCAAGGCACCAGGAGCACAGGGGATCTGGAGTGGCCCAGATCCATCCTCCCTGGCACCGCAGGTTTTTTGGAGGGAGGGGAAGCAGCGTGCCTCTGTTTTTCTGGGCTGGGGGAGGGGAAGAGCTGCTGGGACTTGATTTTCCCCAAAGGAGAGCTAACACAGCTCAGGGCAAGACCCAGTTCTCCACTCCTGAGCCAGAGAGTGGGAAGGGCTCTGCCAGGTTGAGAACTTTTTGGGCAGCATCAGGGCAAACTGTTAAAAGGACACTGCAGAAACTACTGCAGTAGTCAGCAATTCTTACCTTTCTGATAGGTTAGACATCAGGGTTCTTTTAGAAACCAATAATAACAAAAAACTTCCATGCCCCCAGATAACCAGGGGAACTCTCCTACTTGGCTCCAGCAGCTCTCCAGGGACTGCTGGACAACGTGCACCCGTTGCTGCAGGAGAACGAGCAGCCTGCAGCTTATTGCCTCCTCCCAGCACAACAGCCAGCCTTGCTTCCATGTGGAAGCACCTCCAAACCCCCTGGTTAGGGTCTGACCGTCCTTTACCAGCAGCTTTTGGCACTCAGCTCCTGACTGCCTGTCCCAGGCAGGGAGCACCTGGATGGCTATCCCAGAGGATGAGGAGCGAGCGCGTTGCCATGAGAACGCTGCGGGTCTGGGGCCGTTTGCTGAAGCAGAGCAGGGAAGGAGCTGCCTTTGCACAGAGTGGGAACAAAACGGGGGTGGACTCAGACAAAACCAGGGGGGAAGCAAATAGGAAGCAAATAGGAAGCTGGAATTTGTGCAGCTTGGAAGCAAGACTGTGCAGCCTGCTGGCTGGGAAGCCGGGCTGGGTGTGAAAGGAAGAGGCAGGAGCAACAGGGACCTGGAAGCTCATCCTGCATGGTCTAGAGTTGGACAGGGCAAAGTAAGTCAGCTGGAAGCAAAACAGCCAAGAGGAGCTATTAGCACATCACAGATTCTGGAAGCATCTTAGTGGATGCAGCAGCAGCAGCAGAACTTTGAGAGGGTCTGGAGCAGGCACTAGGAAAAGTGGGAAGCGGAGCAGTTTAGAGATCCAAGGCTGCAATGTAATCCCAGAATTCACAGTTGTTTACAGAAGAAAAAGCAGCAGAAAGGACAGTCAAGTATCAGCAGTGCAATTCCTGGGAAGGGTGCATGGCCCTGGCAGCAACTCCTCCCCATTCAGAGAAGCAGGATGGGATTGAGGAGGGGGTGCTGGACAGAGGTGGTCACCATGGACCCCACGTGCTGCTTTCCTGCTCTCCCTGCTGCCCCACCACACTAATCCTTCACCACAGGCAGACACTGCATTTCCAAAATAACAAGCTCTGGGCATGGAAACAGGCCAGGATAAACTCAGGGATCTGAACCCACACAGACTGGAATCCACCACCAAACTCCAACTGTAACAGCAACACTCTTTGGTAGGAACAAGCCAGTTCTCGCTCTCTCCTAATGAGAAATTCTCAAATAAAGTGGTCTGGAATCCTTTTCTAGCCCCAATTTCCTTTCTACCACTCTGTTCCCCTCTCTGAATCTCCTGTGGCTCAAAGACTCTCCCTGGTTCTACATGGATAGAATAACAACCATGATGCATAAATGCCAATACTATAAACAAAGTATTTGCAAAAAAGTCAAGAGTGAATGTACTGAACAATCTCACAGGCTTAAAATATTTAGGGAGTGAACACACAAAAGGCTGATGCAGACACACAGGTTAAGGGCACCTGGACTGCACGAGGCAGGAGCCCTCTCAGCAATGAGATTTCTGGATATTTATACCACAAGGAAGGAGGAGAGGAGAGTAAGTGTCATGTGAAGTTTGAACCAGGTCCCTTCCCACCTTCCCAGCCAAGGAACTGGCTAAGTAAGCCAGCAGACATGCAGCTTGCACTCAGAAAACCACACTGGTGTAGAGGACCAAACCCAAACAATGAGGTCTCTAAAAGGGTATTTAGTTTGATATTGCTTTCTCCTCCCTCCTGCAGACCCTAAAATTAGAGGTTTCCTTCCATCACTGAAATTTCCTTCTCCTGTGAACGCAGTGAGAAATCAAGACTGACTAAAAAAACCCTCATTTCAGCAGCTCTCAGCCAGAGAATTCCCACAGTCAACACATATTAACAAATCCCAGCAGAATGGCATTGGAAGTTTTGGGCTGAGCAAGGAACATCCTTGTTCTTCACTTGGAAGACAATGAGTGTGTGAAGATCCAATCATCCAAACAGCTCCAGTTCTCTTTAAAAAATCCACTGGTCCAGCACAGAAAAGCCAGTGGGAAAGCCAGGCCTGGCATCAAGAGCTTCTTTTCAGCTCATATTTGCCCCTAACTACAAAGCACAGTGAAATTTAGGTTGCTCTAGCAACGAATTTAAATACCACAGCCCATGTCTCCTTACCTGTGAGGTCCTGGGCTGGCTGGTGCTGTCAGAGAGGACAGTGCTGGGGTGGCTCCGGGGCTGGCCCTCCAGCCAGGAAATCTTCAGAGGATTATTTATCAGGCCAACTTCGTTCTTCACAGCCATCTCCTAGCAAGGAAAATATTTATATAACAAGTCTGGGTTGGTTTTCCTTTTGATCATTTGGATGTGAGCGAAAGAACAGGTGGCATGGAACAGAGGTTCCTGCACAGGGTAAGGGGATGGAACTACTAATATTAAGGGTAACTGATGATTTCTGTTCCCACAGCGACGTGAATAATTACAACTCACAGAAAGCCAGGGCATTTTGATTTGTTTTTCACTGCAAATGCCTGGTATCACCTCTGAAACACAGAAGCCCAACTCCAAGGTAATTCACCTTCAGTGGGAGCCAGTTAAAATGCTCAGTGCCAGATTTTTCAGGCATTGCCTCTCCCCTCAGCCTGTTCCATGCACAACCTGTTTATGTGCCTGATCTGCTCTGGGCCTGCAGCTCTGCCACTCCCTTCATCCCTCTGTGCCTTCAGACTCTCATTAGCCTTCTCCACTGCCTTAATGACCAGGTAGCCTGTGGGCTGTCACCCTGTGACCTGTCCCCTCCTGTGACGTCCCCCCCAGCACACCCAGCTGGGGCTCTGCACGCTCACCGCCGCCTTAACCGTAGCGAATTCCACCACTGCACTCCCAGTCTTCCTGCTGGAGATCACCAAATTGAGCACATCTCCATACTGGCAAAAGAGAGAAGGAAAAGTTAATCACAGACCCTGCAGAGATGCTGAGTTCATTTATTAAACGAACACAAAGAGAAAACCTGTGTTTTCACAGGCATGAAGTTGAGCTGTCACCATTTCTGTCCTGCCCCATGTTGCCACCAACCCCAACCTGCCATAATTTCTGTCCCTCCAGGAAACAGTCCTAGAGAGGCACAGAGCAACACACTTGGCTTCCAGCAAGCCCCAGTGCAAGAGGGATGCTCAGCTCAGAGCCAGAGCTCCAGGAGGTGCTTGCAGGGAGGGGAAATAAAGCTGCCACGCTGGGATTAATCAGATCAAAGGCTTGTCTGCTCCTGTCTCTGCACTTCCCACAGTGGGGCAGAGGTGTTAGCTCGGAGACAGCTCCCAGCTCACGGATCAAAGGATCAAACTTGGTTCAAAGGTTTGACTTGATGATCTTGGAAGTCTTTTCCAACTTAATGATTGTTTGAACCTGCTGATGATTTCTGAAAATTGCATGAGAAACCTGAACAGAGACGAAAATGAGCCACCCCAGTTTACATCTCACAAGGGCCTGGGGTGACAGGACATGGGGAACAGCTTCACACTGACAAGGAATAGGGTTAGATTGGGTATTAGGACAAAATTCTTCCCTGTGAGGGTGGGCAGGCCCTGGCACAGGCTGCCCAGAGAAGCTGTGCCTGCCCCTGGATCCCTGGGAGTGTCCAAGGCCAGTTGGACGGGGTTTGGAGCAACCTGGGCTAGTGGAAGATGTGGGGGTGGCACTGGATGGGCTTTAAGGTCCCTTCCAACCCAAACCATTCCATCATTCCATGATTTTATGATATGTAGCTTCCCAGAATTCATTATCCTTATACCAGAGAGCAGGGGAAGACCCTGCAGTAGAACAGTGAGTGTCAGACAGGACCTTTTGCAGGATCTGCAGCAGCACATCCTTGGAGTATCCCCCTCCTGTCTCGTCTTCTTTCCTGCATTTCCATCTGAGCTGGGAAATAAAGACCAGAAGTTAATTTTGTCTGTTTGAATGCACTGCTGTGCTCAGTGCTGCTCCCACCCCCCCTGCACAGTCCCCACGTTTGCTATTTACAGCCACACTCCCGGGACTGCCAAGACAGTGATCTCAGCATGACAATGAGCGCAGGGAACAAACTGTTTGGGGAACAGAGAGAAACGCTGCTCCCTGGAATATAAAAAGATCACACTGAAGGCATGCTGATGGCTCTGTCAGGGTAATTAGCAGATGTTTCCCTGAGCTCAAAGCAAAGACAACTCAATTTCAGGCCCAGAAATCTGGAGCAGACAGAGAAAAGGTGAGGGAGGAAGGGATTCTCAGGGCAAGGACAAGAGCTGTTCACATGTTGATGCATATTCCACAGAGGAATTTCACCTCCACTGGAAAAAGGGATGTGCCAGTTCAGCAGGGTTGAAGTGTCCCTTCTGTTTTCCATCACGTTCTGTAAGTTTACACCAAAATCTAGTTTTTAAAGGGTGCCTTACCTTGAGTTTAGGAGTTACTTTGCCTTCTGCTCCATTTCTTTCCTGCTTGCCTAAAGAGGGGAAAAGAAAAACCACAGATTGAAAGGACATGGGTGAGAAAATTCCTCAGCATTTAGCACAAAATCTTCCCTGAGAACATACATATGACAACAGCAAACACTTCTGGATTTCCACTAGACCATTCCAGCCCCAAAAGACCTGTGCAACAGGAACTCCAGTACAGACTGAATATTCCATGGCAGCATTTTCCCCTTCTAGGATGCCCAGACTTGCCATGATCAAGACAAGAAAC